TATTTAAATTTATTTATTTTTAATTTGACCAGAGAAGGACAGAGAGGGAGAAAAAGTAAGAAAGCAAGCTGCCAGGTCCGTGACTTCAAACGTGGTTGGCCACATGAGAGTCCAGTGTCCTTAACCACCATGTCACCTGCCAGCCCCAGATATATGTACTTTTTAAAAGAAATCAAATCATACTGCATGGAAACTTGATTTTGGTGCTAGATAATACATATGTGGGGGTCACACTTCAATCATCTGCTATTTTGGCCATTTACTGTGTTTTCAATTTTATGACAACCCAAAATATAACATGGAATATGATACAGAGAGCTTTTCTTTTCAGTGGGAGAAAAACTGAATTATTACGTAAAAATGTAGGTAGTTGCTACCACTAAAATAAATTTTATATGCATTTAAGAATAAAATGTGAAAAACAAATCCATGAAAGTTCTAGAAGAAAACATAGGAGAATTTTTTTTTTTGTAACAGAAAAGAAAGTGGCTTATAAACACACAAAAAAAGACATTCATCAAAGAAATAAAAATTATACTTTTGGGACCAGCAGTTAGCGTAATGGCTATGTCGCTGTACTCCCATGTAGTCGACCGCAGTTTGAGTTCCAGATCCGGTGGCTTAAACTCACGCCAAGAGCCCGAGAAGAGAATAGAGGAGAAGGGATTGAGGCATGGTCCTGCCCCCTGGGGGGGGGGTGATTTCTCACTTTCTAGCTCTCTGTCTCTGTCTTTCTGGCGAGTGCACGTGCCTTATAGCAAAAACCTCTAAAAAAAAATTATATTTTTAATGAGCTATCATTTTGTGCCAAACAGGTTGGCAAAAATCAAAAATATTTTATAATGTTGTTCGGTGAGGACATGGAGAAACAGTGTGCTATCAAACTTTTCATCTTTGGATGACTATAACTTGTACCATTTCTCTAGAGGCTAGCTCGTTTTTGTTTGTCAAAATGTAAAATGTATCTACCCTTTAATTCAGCAATTACACTTTTAGAAGCTAAACCTACAGAACTACACTACCTATAAGCCAGGATCAGGTACAAAGAAATGTATTTCAACTAGTAAAAAAATAGCAAACATTTGGGAATAATCTATATGTCATTGAAAAGATAGGAGTTAAGTAAATTATGCTATATCTAAGCAACAAAATACTATGCAATCTTTCAAAAGAACTAGGCCCATCTAAAGGATCTGATAATAGAGATCAGAGAGATATTATAAGATTTTTTAAAAAGAAGATATTTTAAGAACGATATGTAGGTGAAGCCAGCCCCAAACTTAGTGTTTTGCATTGAGAGACAGATCCCACATGGCTAATTAGGTTAAAATCCCAGCCCAGCTGGTTTGAAAAACCTTGTCCCATTAAGGTGGTGGGGATACTTTCTCTCTCTCTCTTTCTCTCTCTCTCTCTGGTAAGAGCATGTGTCCTTTTGCAATAATAAAAAAAAAAGGTATGTAGGTAAATGTGTCTGAAAAGATACACAGGAAAGAACTTATGTATCTAGGTTTCTCAATACCATATATTGAATGAGATAGTCCCCACTTAACACATACTAAGCCTAGTTGGCCACTTTGATCTACTACTAATAACTGTAGTTTGAGATTTTTATTTTATGTATTTTAATGTGTTTTTTTTAACTGTAATTCCTTCTCATTTATTTTTTTAGAATTTTCTTGGTTATTTCTGAATGGTACTCTTTCAAATGATTTTTAAAATAATTTTATCAAATTCCAAAAGTATTCTTAGATATTTGATTAGAATTATACTGAATGTATAGGTTACTTTTAAAAGATGATAATTATATAATACCGATAGATATTTAACTTAAAAATATATCTTCTATATTTCAAACATTCTTCTGTTTCATAAGTTTATCATTTAAAAAATAAGTTTTATAAACTTGTTAATATTTACTTTTTAACTCTTTAATTTTTTGTAATTATTGTAAATAAGATTATTTTTATATTGTATTTTGCAATTTTTTATGGTTTAGACATGGGAAAGCTCTTGATTTTTGTATGTTAATTTTGTAACTGGTTACTTTAACTCATCTTTTACCTGCTTCTGAAAATTTTTCAGTTGATTCTTTGTGAATTCCATTTCATTTGCAAACAAATAATAATTCTGACTTATTTGTAGCATTTAATGTTTCATTTCTGTTTCATATTTAATTGCATTGGCTGTTGTTTTCACTGTTAACATTGTGTGGTAGTGAGTATTCTTACCTTGTTCCTGACTTCAAAGGAAATAATTGCAGTGTTTAATTAATATACTGCAAGTTGTGACTTTGGTATAATATATATATCTAAAAATGATAAATTCCCAATTATTTAAAAAAATTTTCCAGGAATGATGCTGGATTTTATAAAATCCTTTTCAGTATCAATCGAGGCACTCTGTTTTCTCCTTTGGCAACTATATGAAAAAATTTTCTGTTATCGAATCATTTTTATATCCTTAGAATCATTCCTCATAATTTTGGCATACTATCTGTAATGTAGGGCTAGGTTCTATTTGCTAACATTTTATTTTGATTTTTACGTTATATCCAAAAGATTAACCTGTGTATTTCCTTTTGTGTACACTTTATCAGGTTTTATTTTAAAACCAGCCTTTCTGCTCATTCAAAACAGAGAGATTACTGGTGAAAAGACCTGGAGGGCAACCACCTGAAATGGCCTTAATGGAAAAAAAAAAAAAAACATAACCAAAAACCTCACTGTGGTTTGTCTTGTGGTTTGTCTACACTGGTGAAAATGTACGCCACTGTATACTCTCTGATACGAATTCACAAACTATTGCAAGTACTATATAGATACTGCTTTTCTTTCCAATAATGAACTTTCAGTGGCAAACAAAAGCAGATGTTCTCTGAAACGTTTTGTTCTTTGCAACCTGCCTCCCAGTCTATCTCAACTCAGTGATACATGAACCAGCGCATTCTAAAATGGGGGAAGGGTTGGGAAAAGGGCTCTCATCTTTTCACCTCTGTCTGCAGTTCAACCCTGCTGGACTTCTCACTGTGACTGACTTCGGTCACTCCTTCCGGCTGCTGCTCTTTAGTTCTGTGCTGTCTCCACTGCCTTTCCTCATCTTGGTTTCATTCATGCCACTCTCCCGCCTTCAAAGCCGGTGTAAACTCTCCTAGTTCTAATCCGACCAATCCAGCCCATTCTACTGAACAGACTTCTCTTATCCGCAACCGCAATCAAAGCGTGGCTACGCATTTTAGCTATCCTTGTTGCCAAATACTTTCAACAGGGCTCGTTTTCTTTATTACCGGCCAGAGTTAGCTCCTTGAGGGCAGGGCCTTATCTCAAAATTGGGTTCTGCATGTGCCATTGTGTGAGGCTGAGTAATCACATCCAAGGCGCCGTGCAGGACTGTGACTGAAGGCATCCAGCACAGTTACTGAGTAAATGATTTAGATCATGCAAACTCCAGGGCTCGCCAAGTTAAATCGTTACTCCTAATGCACTCCTTCATCACACAGGCAGGGCCGCAGGGGTCGGCACCTAGGGCGGCAACTGCTGACTCCCGTGGGAAGCCCGGATCCGCTCCCTTTGCAGTCAGCCCTGAACTTCAGCTTCCCTTAGGGCTCAACACTGGGGGTCCCGGACCCAGTTTCCCCGTAGGTCTTTATTTCCGGACCTTACACCTGGGCGAATAAACCGACTCTTTCAAACGTCAAATCACAAGATACTATTTGTTTGTGGATTTAACGAGACTGCCTTGGAAGTCACTAAAACCCAGACCTTTTAGCTTCCAGGAGGGAAACGGCTACCAGTTGTGGGTGTGTATTTATTTTTTAAACGGAGGTTATTTTATCGAGTATGTGCAACCTTTACTTCAGATTTTAAACCTTCACGCTCTCTTAACTTTATAGGGGAAAATAACAAGAATGCACACACTCTTTTCACAGGGATGAGGGTGTGCGTTTTCCCGAGGGCGTTCGGGGTCGAGCTGCCGCCACACTTTGAAGATCACCTCACCGCCGGGGG